GGAGAGTGACTAGCTCCTCCCATCAAAACCCTATTTTCGCCCCTTTCGCCCTGACATGGAAAATATGGCTAATCTTTTGAGGGTATCTGAGTTAAGAAAGAAAAGAAATGTGACCGTCTATTGAACAAGGAAATGGAAACAAATGCTGGAGGAAAGTTGGGAAGGTGATGATAGTTCAGGGTGGGCAGTAAGTTTAAGAAGAGGAGTCGAGCTCATTTAGGAATGCAAATATCTCCTTGGTTAAACTGGGATTCTCGGTTGCTGCTTCAATCAGGTGTGAGCGTTGCGATCCAAAGACTACCTTTCGCCATGGCAAGTTGTTATATTGACTGCCAGATGGTGTGGATGGAAGTCCAATAAGGATGTATCTCATTACAAGCAATGCCTTGTATGCAATTCCGTAAGGTTCGCCGTGTTCGTCGACAGGTGTGGGATAAAGCTTGAATAGTCGGGCACATTTCGGCTGGATGATGGCTCGGGGGGGAATGGGTGGTGGCTTGGTCATGTCTCGAAGTGGGGGAAGGTGAGCGGAGACATGTCCAGCTATCAGTGCAATATTCGGCGTGGGAGCTAGGTATTCTGAGCAGTAATCCCAGTGACATGCGCGAGGGTTAGAAGGTTGCGGCTGTAGATTCCATCCGCCTGAGGCCAGGGGGCTGAGTTGAAGGTGGTCTTGAAACACATGATTGCGCAGAATAGCAGGATCGACGAATACATGATCACATCTGATCTCTCCTTGTTTGCCCCAGAGGCAGTGAAGGCTCAGAAACCCGTCCAGGTTGTAGGTGGTTTCAAGGGGGCGGATGCCACGGATAATGAACCGAGCAGAGGGACCTTCAACAACTTTGGCCTGAGCAGAGGAGAAGGTATTGCTAACTGTGCTGATGAACTCAGTGGCTTGGAGGGTATCGGCTGATTGGACACCTGGGATGCGGTTTTGAGAGAAGCACGCTTGGTAGGCCTGCCAGATTGCCAGTTGAGTAATTTCACATTCTGGATCTTCGACAAAACAGCATTTGAGCCAAAGGCTGCAACGTTCCGGCTCCGAGTGCTTAACGAGGTCACGATAAAGATCTTGGTGTGGAATAGGGATTTGGTTGGGAGGCGGGGCCTTGCGCTCAGCTTGATCAATGATTTCCTTGTTGCGGACCACGCTGCCGTAGTCCAAGAGATGGACAAGGTGAGGTATAAGGTCAACTGGAAGATTGAAGTCTGCGACAAGCTGCTGCACATTGAGTTGGTAACGGGAGAACTGATACAGGAAATCGAGGGCAACAGAAAGAAGTTCGGGATCTTGCTTGAGAAGTGTGAGGCGGATGACCTGTTCGATAGTCTGGCTCGGGATCCTATCGATGATCTTAGATTCGATGCGCTCAATGGCGAACAGAGAGAGACATTTTAAGGCGGTTAAGAGTTGAAAACGGTCTTCACTGCTTATCAGATTGATAAGTGTCTGGTATAACGGGTCTTGGTCCCAAATGTCCCAGAAGGGACAAGTTTGTTCAATGATTTCCAAAAAATAGTTCTTGAGTTCTATGAACCTGTCCTGACAGGGAAGATTGAGGACGATAGTTGCACAGTCTCTCAGCAGCGGCTCTTCGGCAAACCAGCGGGCATTTTCCTCAAGCAGGCACATGTTTCGGATAATGAGGGCTGCCTGGTTGACACGCTGGAGTTTAATGCGGAACGACTCATCTTCGAGGTTGGTATCGTCCAGGCAGACTTTCTTGGATTGGATACGATGTAGAAGATCAGGTGTGCCAGTCAAGGCGAAGATGACATTGAGATTTTTGGAGGAGATATTATTTGGGTGATCGAGCTCGATGACCCATTCCTGGCCGTAGACGAGAAGAGAAACCTTTAAAACTTGCTTAGCAAGGGACTCAGCTAACATATTAAAGTCACTAAACTTGAGCTTGTCCCCTCGTTCATCAGAAATGACAATAAGATGGTGAAGGGCAAAATCAACTTCCTTGTCGATGTCCGATCGGATGCCCATCCAACAGAATCGATAGATATTGGGAACTGTTTCAGCGTTAGAATCAGGACCAGCCAAGAGGCAAAAAGAAGGCATACCTTGATCTGGTAGAGCGAGTGTCATGAGAGGGTCGATATCAGGAGGCAGCGGTAAACGCGAGGAAGAAGTAGCGAAGACACCACGCCGATTGCTCGGGGTATCATGCTCGATGACGTCCATTTTGGGAGTGACCACAGAGGCAGATAATGAAAAACAGGGAGAAAAGAGAGAGGGTATGTATCGTCCAGAGGAAGACAGGGAAGAAAAGGGTGAGAGGAGAGGGTAAGCCTAGGACTGCGCCTCCGCGGCGCGTTTGCGCTTCCGTGACTGGCGAATCTTTGGTAACGCCGCGTTTGCTGGACATCCCCCATTAGCGCGGCTGCAGACGACGGAGGAACACGGGATAGGGACAAAGAGAGAAAGATAAGGCCTACCTGCCCTTGCCTGAGACTCGCTGGGGATCTCGGACGGGGGAATCAGCAGCAGGTAGTATTCGAAGTCCCTATAGGAGAACGGTCAGTAAGGCACTCTTCGTGACAGGCTGGGAGATAACTCACAGCAGCCGCTCTGCGTACAGCTGCTTAACCTGGTACGAGAGGGTTCCAACCAGGCCAGGAGGGACACCGGCAATATGGCCGGCTTCCCACCAGTTCTTCTTGTCCTTGGAGGCCTCGTCGAAGCCGCCTCTTGTTACAATCTGGACGAATAGCGTGTAGACGTTGATTTTCTTGCTGCCGGCCGGCCAACGTGTTCCAGGACGGGCTTCCCACGACTCGCTGCTCGATCTGGTTTCCGGTCATCCCAGGTTAGCAATTAAACACGCCCGTCGCCAGCCAACGCAGACCCGAAGACATGGAACTCACTTTCCCTGGCCATAGAAGTGCCTCAAGCTCGCCCAGAAGCGCTGTTCGTCTTCGCAGACGAGCTCGGTGGCCGTCTTCTTTCTCTCCATCTGTCGTTCACGTGACTGTAACTTGCTTGGGTTAGGTTGGTGGCTGTGCACGTGACTATCAGGGCAGAAAAGGTAAATGGTTTGATCACCAGAAGATCCAAGCTTGTGCACGTGATGATAAAGTCTTTGAGAAAGCAGAAAACTCTAGCCTCTTTGGGACTAGCCTAACCCTAGTCCATGGTGACTAATCAGAAGAATAAAGAGTCATGTGACCCACCTTCTTCCGTCCTTTCTTGGTGAGTCCTTCTTCTTCTTCTTTCTTCTTCTTGAGAACAGGAGGGGAGGGAAGGGAAGTTTTATAAGGAAGAGGAAGAGGTTGAAAAGAGTCTCTAGAGGCTTTGGAAGGGAAGATATTGCTGCCACTTCATGATAATGGAGCTATGTTCTTATGGCTACTAGCAACCAGTGGCCTTTGTTAGACCCGAATTACCCCCTTAATCTCAATGTGCCCTGGAGCAGATTCTACTGTATTCTATCTATGGGGACAAAGTCCAATAGTGATGGATTCAACACCTATCATTACTCTGGTATGTTGTGTTATTGTCTTCTAAAGGGATGTGTGACAGTACTAAAACCCATTGCTTGAGAAGACCTTTCAAAATTGCCTATTAGATCCAGGCTCATTATATCTTGTAATGATATATGGCTCTTATTCATTATGGATATTCAGTAAATTATTTGAATACACATGCCAAGATAGGTTATATCCTACTTATAGCTAGTGATATTCCACTATTGCGGGATTGGCCAAGAATATTCACATTATACTATATATATACCCAAAAAACTATGAAGAAACCAGTATCACCATTGCTTTACAGGATATCCTTCACTTCCTTCTTGGGTTGAATGAATCTCTTGAGCTTTGGCCTGGCATGGGTCTTTTGTTCAAAGGCATATGCCAATCCAATCAACTTCTCCTCGCTCCAGAGATCACCCATGAAACCAATGCCAATAGGAATTCCAGGACCCGAGGTGACAAGCTCTCTATCGTGGTTTACTTTGGTTCCATTTGGGTACACGCCCATTGGGACAGTGATAATAGGCGACCCTATCAGAGCTGGGATATATGGTGACAGATCGGTAGGGAGAACAGCAGCGTCAAGCTTGTGACGTCTCAAGGCACCAAGAATGCCTCCCTCATTGCCGAACTTCACGTTCTTCTGGTACATTGGCCAGAACTTAGGGTCAGTGTTTTTTATCCCCTTCTGCAGGGCAATGTCCCATCTGGCGGTATCGCGGCTGGGATACTCTTCCAGACGATGGTGTTGGGTGAATCTTCGGAGAGTCTCAAGGTCGGTGATGTTGTGAGGGTTGACCTTGAGTTGCTTGAAGAAAGCAGGCAGGTTGGTGAGACTGTCGGCATAGAGGATATCGTCTGGGATGGGGCTCTGGGCGAATTCAGCAAAAGAAGTGAAGTCTGTGTTCTCAACTATGATAGCACCAGCCTTCTTCATGACCGCCAGCGCTTGGTTGAACTGATCTACCACCGTCTGCGGTGAACCGAAGATCTTGATGACATTACGAGGGACTCCGATACGCTTCCCTTTGAGAGCATTGATGTCGCATGCCTTGACATAGTCCGGGATGGTGTCAAAGGGGATTGCGGAGGTATAGTTATCATTCGAGTCCTTGCCTGCAATTACTTGCAGCAGGTAGGCTGCATCTTTGACTGATCTGGCCATGGGTCCGACGGTGTCCTGGCGCTCACTGATAGGGACGACAAAACGGCGGGAAGTCAAGCCAACTGTGGGCTTGAGACCGACGATGTTGCTCTTATCAGCGGGGCTAACGATGCTGCCGCTTGTCTAGAGATATAGTATACCTCATCAGCAAGAAGTTGAAACTCGTGGCTGCTTCTTGTATGCAATCGCTCACCTCAGTTCCCAAAGTTGCAAAAGCTAATCCGAGATCAGAAGCAACACCGCTTCCGCTGGAACTTCCACTGGGATCTTGGTTCTTAATATATGCAGCAGTTACTTGGCCACCATATGCGCTCCAGCCGTTGGTAGAGTTGAGCGATCGGAAGTTTGCCCACTGGGAAGCACCGGATTTGCCCATAATGACCAGGCCAGCCTCCCTCAGTTTCGTGGCCACAGTGGCATCAGCCGACGTTCGAGCGCCAAATATGGCATAAGAGCCAGCTAATATTTCCAATCAGCCTGGGATGGGAGAGGGAAACGGCTACTCTACTAACCAGTGGAGCTCATCTTATCGTCGGTAAAGATATTGTTCTTGATGACGATAGGTAGGCCATGGAGAGGACTGAACAAGTTATTTTCTACCGTCTTGATCAAATTGGCATCCTATTGACTTACCCTCGAAGCTTGCCCATCTTCCTCTCATTGTCCATCTGTTTAGCTATGGTAAGGGCATCGGGATTGATCTCCGTGACCGCTCGAACGGTAGAGTTAACCTCCGCGATTCTGGCAACATACGTCTGAACAACAACTATTATCAGCCGGTTGCCTTTTTGATACGGGGTTTGCAAGGTAATACGCACCTTAACAAGGTCAACGCTAGTGAAGCACCCTTTAGTCAAGCCATCTTGAAGCTGATCGGCAGTAGCTTCGATGAGCTTGGGAATATCGCAAGCTTGAGGGTCTATCAACCTGTCAATAACTGCCTGTTCGTTTCCAATTGCGATACACTGGTTTGACCCATAGCTTCCATGGGCTGAGAGTATTGGAAGGTCACTTAGCTTACAGGCTGATGCAATTGAAGTATACACAGCACCAAGCTGCAGGAGGAAGGTGATGGGGCCCTTCATGATGATTGACAATTCTGCAATCAACTTGGATTAAAAAAGTCCGCTCTCTATCAATTGGGTACCAAGGGCCTCTGGGGAACTATTTAAATCATTGAGAGAAGGGACAATGAACGCCTGAATGAATCTAGGCCTATCCCTCCCCGCTCAACCATTCCCATATGTCTCCCAAAACGACCCTGTTCTCTCTGTATGGGCTCAACATGTCTGGATACGACATAAGCATCTTCGCACGAATAACATCACTTGAGTGTGACCTGACGACTCCGCCTGGGGCAGGATCTAAATCTCGGGCCAGACAGGCATCTCCAAACCTGGCCCTTTCGCATATGTCTGCACAAGCATCATGCTTTCGTGACGAGGATCAAGGGCGCAGCGCTTTATCTAGCTTCCTATTCCAGTTATGCCCGATAATTCTCCAAGCGCTGTGGGGCAGGCTAAAGTCGCTCCCGAGAAACCCGCGGCAGATGATGGATGAAAAGACCGAGAGCATGGTTGTATAGTTGGCTGGCAGGGAGTTTGAGCATTTAATATGGCCAGCTAGTTAGACCGGGGGCCATGATATAATATCAGTACTAAAGGACTTCGCCCACGCCAGCCTGCAGTACGCTTAATGCATTTTAGGGAGGTATTATCCAAAGGAACTATGTATGGATCTTCCGCTTTTTAAAGGTCAAGCCCCATGTCTAGTGGCACGGAGTATTATCTCAGGGGTCCGGAAACTTGTGCCTGCTTATACGGTTTCAGTCCGCAAATCACCAAGATTGGGGCTTGATTACTCCGTACCCCGGGTTAGCTAGACGGGTTGGAGATGCAGCTAATTTTATCTTACCAGGTACTGCTTTGAGGAAAAGTCCATTGCCTCACAGAGCTATGAATATGAGCATCGAGGGATATCCAAACTAACTAAATTGAAATGCAGCACATAGATAATACTTAGTAGGATCTCGATAGAGCATGCACAAAAATATATACAGGGTGGAAATTTGAATCAAATAAGAGTGCAGGATATGTTTCAATCGCAACTGCTCCTTCTCTGGACCACTGCGCGAAACCGGGGCTGTGGAAGAAATGCCAAATCATCCCTTGTCGCCAAGCTTGCGGAAGACTCTAGACGCCTTGTCTTGTCGGCCACACAGAAACATCCATGCATGCATGCTGGGGACACGGGGAAGAGAAGCGGGCACCGGGGCAAGCCAGCGGCCTGGAGATCGCTGTGGCGTCGTTGGGACAGAGTAGAGAATCACATCGCCTTGAAAAAAAAAAAAAAAAAACAGGAAGGAAGGAAACAAGCGATAATCGTGTATGCAGGATGGGAGAGTAGCGTGTCTTTCGGACTCCGGATTCACTTGATCCAAATTTGGTTCGAAAATCGCTCGAAGGGTACAGGGGAGTCCAAAAATTGGTCGTTGACATATTGGGGGTATTATTCGAAAAGGAGGAATGATTGGGCGAAACTATGCGGTCTTTTTCCACGCAGTGTTGAGTCCAATCAAACTGCTTACGGTTCCCGCAATACCAAGAACGCCATCATCCAGGTTGACATATCCAAGGCTAGAGAGTGGAAGGGTAAGATCGCATAGATCGGAAATGAGTTGTGTTGAGACGGTAGCACGCTCCCTGCATCAGCTGTTAGCGACCTTCTGCTTGCGTTGCATCGGGACAATCCAAAACGAACCTTTGAATCTTCTTTCCTTCGACAGCTCCCTCTCCATCCTTTTTGTTTATCTTCTTCTCCATCTCACTCAATCTCCACATAGAGTAGACACCAGCAATGGCACTGCACAGGAGTCCAGTCAACCATGCTTTCTGGGCGTGAGCTTGAAGCTTTTTAACAGCTGCGAACTTGCGAATACCCGCTGCATCGAGATACGTCAACATATCAAAGGAAAGATAGACTCCATATCCCAGTTGTCTTCCTACAGCCAAGTATTTGAGCACCGGGTCTGACCCAGGCGCACCGGCAACGCCAGGCTTGGAGTCGAGCGCAATAGCAGCAGCCTTGAAGTGCTCGATATTCTTGCCAACACGAAGAAGCTTTCGAGTAAGGCCAAACTGCTTTTTCATAGCCTCAAATGGATTTATAGTGGACTGCGCTCTGTTTGTACGGAGGAGGTACCAGGCGAGGAAGCGAGAAAAGTATTGCAACGTTCGTAGGACCTTATCGCGGCCAACTAGACACCAACCAGTTAGCTAGTGACATTCCTTGGGAGACTATCCAATGTCATCTATGCAGTGCTTTATATATATATATATATATATATATANNACNNCGTA